TTGAATGATGCTGTTGCTGGGATACCACAAACTCAGCTCGGTCATCGCTTCTGTAGTCGTGCTTCAGCAGCTTCAGTTAATTTAGCATGTCAAAATGGGAGATTGGTAGGTGGTTGATTTGTATAAATTGTTACAAGAAGCTTTTGTTTAGTTCTGTATGGACAACTGGCTCGACTAAATATTCCACTTCAATAACCAGCTAGTTGCTAACTTTTTTTTTTTGTGCCATTATGAGCAAAAGCAGAGAAACACTATCCCTAAACACCTAAGAACAAGAATAAGTGCCCATGCAGTAGAATATATAAAGAGTGATATATCCTGCAGACTTGCACCCTTAATGAGTGAATTACCCAACACAGGAGATTCACCAAGAGGAACCATGTTACAAGTCCTGTTGCAAGACTTTTCCAATGAAAAGCAATATCACATTTCATCACTATTTTTTAAAGGCACAGAAGCAATTAATCCCACAAGAGGTGGTAACTTCAAAAACGAGTGCTCTGAGGTATCTTTTAGCCATTTATCATTGATGTTGTTTTATAGCGGTTTCTGTGATGATTTTTAAGATCTTGTCTCTCATCACACTCTTCAAAACAGTGAGGGGAAGTCTTAAAAAAAGCGTTACTAATCAATGTCACTCTATGACCTGTGGTGGTATACCAGTTGCATGTCTCCAGTTTATGTATCAAACATGGTTCATGTTTCTCTCTGCTCAATGTGAGCCTCATCTCCCCGACACACTTATAATAATACATATTTTTTCATCAGAGAGTTGTTAATATAACGTCTCATCCATTAAGAAGCGTTTGATTTTTTAGTACTTGATTTCAGATAGAATGCTTGCCCAGCTTGAAAGAACAGAAAGTGACACGGCAAAAAGAGGTTTAGTTCCATTTTTGTTTTATGAGGTCTGGGACCATCCATTATTTAAGTCTGAGGGACAACAGCTGAGTCAACTTTTTTAGCCCTCTGAACAGCATGTTGGACATGCAATGAGCAAAAACCGCAACTTAAGCATCAGGGATACCAACAACCCCAACTGATTAAAAAAACAAAAAGCCTGTCTCGAGTCCTGTCCAGGACTGCTGAAAGATCAAGAACAAGTAAGAATGCCTTTTCCTCTCAGCACAAGTCAGCAGTGAAGAGAAAAGATTTTCTTTATTGCTTTTTTACTTTAGACTATTTGACTATGTGCTTTGAAGATAAATAATCTTATTTTTTAGGACATACTTGGACATACTTAATTCCACCTTGACTACATCCATGCTCCAAGGTCACGTATCTCATGAATCTGATATTTATTCGTTTACATTTTTTGAAATTTAGAATCAATATCCACTCAAATTCATTTTCAGGGGAGCAAACAAAGGTCAGCACTTTGCTGCTGCTGTATAATCAGAATCCTTCTTCTCTGTACATTTGAAACTGTTTTCTCTTCCGGGGCTCTTCTTCTGTTAGGTAGTAATCAGACCTAATATAAAGTTAGATTGGGTTACTTAAGAAGGAACTTCACTTCAGCTAGGAATATCAACGTCACTGACAGCAGCATTGAATTATTATAATTGGTCGTATGTCTTTGACAGAATTGTTTTATTAGCTGTAACTGCAATCAAGACAGAGTCATACAAGCGCCATAAAAAGATGACATGTTACAAACAGTGATAAAATAAATGTGGACATATATTTATACACTATTTAACTAAATAAAATGTAAAACTACAAAAATGTTCATGTTTTTTCACACTTATATTCATTTATTTATGCACACATTTGTTAACATAATTTTGAATATCTATATTTATTTATCTCAGGCTTACAAATACATAATTTTTCTCTGTTATTAGTTCTTAATTTACATATAATGATATGAAATGCCTTGGCATGAAGATCCTTAAACGGTTTGTATATGCAAAGGGGGAACAAATGAAAAAAGTACAGGTATAAAAATAGATTAATCTAATTACATACATTTAAAAAATCTAATATCACCAACAAAGAAAAAAAGCACATTTCTGAATGATATATATAAAAATAAAGAAATCAAAACAATGAGATTGAAGATAAATGCAATGGTCAATATTTTTTGTTGTTGTTATCTCTATATTTCTTTCATTTGTATTCACTTCTGAGTTCTTTCATTTTTATTCTGCATGTGTTTCTATAAAACATGCGATGACATTTACATATGTATTCTTTTTATGTCACTCCTATGACTACATAGAGTGACTCCATGCCCTTTAATAATCAGCCCCTCTTAAGTGAAGAATGACGTCACTGAAAAGGTCAACTAGTGGCAGTCTGTGGGTGCTGAAACTCTGCATACAGCGAGAGGGTCATAACTAACTTTTTTTCCAACAGTCCACAGAAGTTTGTTTTTCATCTGGTGGGCAACTAATATAAAAGATGAAGAGGACATGGGAGCCTGCGAGTGACTGCAAAGCATCGACATTGTCAAACCCGCTAAGTGATGTTGGAGTGGTTGAAAGACAGAAAGTAATATTAAAGTGAAAGACAAATAAAAAAAAGGGCTTATTTCTTCAAAGGTGTGCGTCATTGCTCAAGTAGATTCCCATCGTAAATTGGGATTCACTGGGCAGCAGCTATATGTGCAGGACTATAGGGCATATCCATAAAAATACTAATCCACTGGAGAGAAGTGGTGCTTGACAGAGAGAAGGAGAAGGTAAAGGAAGATCAAAGAAAAAATGAAAGAAAATAAAAAAGATGAAGTGCTGAAGATAATTAAATGGCACAAGAAGACAAAGATACAGTGAGGTAAATTAATCATATTCCTATTGATCGTGTAGAAACACAGGAAACACAGGAAACATGATCCACTTAAGCCCTGTTTCAACCAAGCAGTCCAGTTTGGTTCAATAAAGTTTGGTACAATTTGTACGTTAAACCCTGAACTTGCTTGCGTTTCCACAGCCAACCGTACCTTTATTTGTTAAACGCAGTGTAAGCCAGGTGGAGATAGTTGATAGTTGGAGATCAGCTATGAAATAGTGTGACATCATAGCAGCCCAACACAGTGTAGCCCGATATTAATTAAGTTCAACGGAAAGAAGAACGGGACACAGCAAACAAAAGGGACTGTTTAGGGTCCGACCTTACCCCAACAGAAGGGTACCAAAAAAGTAGGATGGTTTGGATCCCTGGAACGGGGCTTTACTGACCTGACCAATTGAAAGGATTCTGGCTTGGTAAGAGGAGGAAATGAAAAGATACATGTCTTCTTATAAGTCTTCTTATATCTTAGTTCTAACGTCTTATAAAGCACGGAACAACAGAAAGTGTGAGTTATATCAAACCTTAAATGTTCAATATGTAGATTTTTATGACAATGTTTACATTAAAATGTCTAAATTCATAAAAAATGTACTATACTCATGTTATACAGTATATATATATTTTGTTGAGTACTTACATTAACTCAAATATTTCCAACAGTCATCAAAGCCAGATAAATTCTTAATTTTATAGTTGTGTCTTGTCAAGGCGGTCGCCATAATAGACCAAATGTTTATCGTTGCCGCGGAAACACCGGATGTTACCTCAAAGGCCGTTACATGAGGAAGCGGGAATTGCTGTTGAAAGCTGCTGTACTGCTGCTGGATGTGCTGCTTTGATAAAAAAAATAAAAAAAACATCAAGTAAATAATACTTGGATACATCTTCTGTAAATGATTCTCTTCCTCAGGTCTGTTTCACCTGTTCGCCTTTACTACGTCTGATGGCAGTGCAGAGTAGGGATGCGATGGTCCCCCATTACACCTCCGTGACATTTCAATTGAAGTTAAGATGCTACAGGGGCATAAATATCCCACCATGAACTGGCAATTAAAAAGGGGTGTGAGAAACATGGGGAGGTGGAGAAGAGGGGACGGCCATGTTACGTGTTCTCTTTAAGGGAGGAGTCTCTGCAGACATACAGTAGTCACCTAAACGCACTAGTCAAGTCATAAGGTACACATCATTGTAAAATGTTCCTTCATAAGTAATTCACATGTGACCTTCAACATGTGGGGAATGAACATGGCAAACAAACAAAATAGAATGAGACAGCTGAAGGACATGCATAAAGAAAGCAGCTGATTCACAGCACTACACAAACTCATTTTGCTTAGCTGACTGAGGTGAGGGACTCGAGGTACTCTCTTCAAAGTAGAGCAAGTAAAACATTGAGTTGGGACAGGAAAGTAAAGTGTGTCATTGTATGACAGCTCCTGCTATATAATTGTTTGGTCTAAACAATCGTACACACATGCACACGTAAACAAACACACTAAAACAAGCTCTTGAGAGGACAGTGGACAGGAAAGAGAAGGTCATTGTCTCAGAACAAAGAAACAACACTCTGCCATAAACTATTCACTCAAAATACAGAATTATGGTTTGAGCACATGAAGAAAACAATTATTTACCTTTTGCAAATATTATTTACTGCTGCTGAGACACTTTAGCACCTTGCGGTGCTTTCAAACTAGATTTGCTTATTTCTGCTCAGATGTGACAGTCTTTTTAAAGTTACTTACTACTTCTTAGTTTATGGGTGTCATTTAACTCTCCCCCACAAAGCCACCCCCAATGGTTCAGTAAAACTATTAAAACTTTGGATATGACAGCCATATTGAGAGCTGAGATTGTGTGCCTAAGAGCAAGAGATGTTCCCTGCTCCGTTGCTTGGCACCTGGAGGTTTATTGAAGAAATGTGAAGCCTTAAATCTGCCAAACTAGTGCTGCAATGACTGTAAGGGGGAAAGCAAAGGCTGAGAATTATACCCGCAGGATAGAAAAACAACAGAGGGAGGGCTGACAACAAGGAGTGGAGAGCAGAAGAGAGACGGAGATAGACTGTAAGAGACAGACACCAGAAAAACAGGATAATGATGGCTCTAGCCTGCACACACCTGAGAGGAAGAGACAGTGAGAGGAAGAGAGTTGTGACTGAGATTTCTTTTCTTGTGTTTTTAGGATATTGGTGGAGTGCCACTTACTTCTCGATGAGGTCTAACGTCACCCCTGGCACCAACTTTGCACTCTTCTGCATACAAAACCTGGAGAAAAAAAAAAGACAAAAAAAGCTGCTGAGAAGGGCTGGAAAGCACAAAAAACCCACCAATGAGACGAGGCAATAAAAGAGTTTGGCCTCTACAGCACTGTTTTTACGACCTACAAGACACAATCAACAGATAAAACACTCAAATGAAAAATGAGAACTTTAAATGTTACAACCTCTGGGCACTTTGATAAGTGTATTTTGGCTGGGTTACAGTCAGAGGGGAGTGGGCAGGCCAGGGTAAACACAGTCTTACAGTATTTCATAAACGTCTGGCATGGTGGTTATTGTTTACAGTGTGTGGCGAGCCCTGACAGGTCGGCCAGCTGTAAGTCACAGCAGGTTGGTGTTCAGAGTCTCCAAAGACTAACAGCTCTTCACTGGAGCTCACTGCAAGTCATCACTCATCTTGAGCAGAGCGGCAGCTAAGTGTGTGTGTTTGTGTATACACATACACAAACATCGGACACAAATAAACAGCAGGGAGATCTACTTAAAAAAAAACCCACATGATATTATGATATGTAATGTATAATACAAATCTGCTGCCTTATTAAACTTAACTATCTTGAACTGATAATCTGTTCAAAACTTCCCAACTAAACAATAATATGTGTAAAGCTGCAGTTATCTGCAAGGATGCACCGATGCATCCCTTTAACATCGGTATCCGACGATATCGGGCCCTGCTGAGAGACATCGGCAAAGACTGTAGCATGAACTGATGTCAGCAGTCGATGTTTACGGAACAATATACCACTGTTTTCTGTAAATGCATGATTAGGACCTCGTGAGGGAGAAAAGATGTGGAAAAAGTTGTGCAGCCTGACTGGTCTGTGTCGCCGTCTTTCCCAGCACAGTGTGCACTCAGCTTTCAATACACAATGAATGGGGATGGGTTTTTAATCACGTCAGGTCACAGTGATAGGGGCTGCTGCCCTGCGGTAATGACGGCGCGTGTATAAGACGCAGCCAACTTTTAAGACGAAAAAATAGGTATTAAAAGCGTGTCTTATTCACCAAATTTTACGGTAACTACTGATTGAGGTTTCTAAATTGGCAGAGGAAGTCACTTGGACAAAGATTTCATGGTCGAGAGAAAATGTTGGCATTGTGGGAGTCCTTTACCAGAAGAAGTCATGAGATAATCCTTAATTGATCCCCAGTGGGGAAATTCAAGTGCTGCAGCAGTAAAAGACAACAGGCAGAACATGCAAATGAATTAATAATACTATATAGAATAGTATATTACAACCAGTGATACCATTTAGAAATAAATAACTCAAGAACATTATCATTTGACCCCATTTTCATCAGCTGGTAAGGGAAACTTTAAGATTTAAAGTTGACACTTCTTCTGCCACAGCTTCAACACTCAGTCAGATTTGGTGATGCTGATTATGTTTTCTACAATAACAGCCAATGCAGCCGTGATGCCTGGAAGCAATTTAATGTTCCAAAAGGATAGAAGTCATGCATGGATTGGGATTTTGCATCCCAGGACTGATCCAGCCCGACTGTGACGTATGTCATGGCATATTCAAAGGTTCCCCCAGATGCTGGAGAATAATGAGATCCCACATGACACCAGCGTGACTTACTGTCTCTTTAAAGAAAAGCACAGGTCCTGAGTGGGTCCTAACAAAAGAGGAAGGATGGAACCAAGACAGCTCATTCGAAAAGTCTTCAGCAACTTCTTCAATGCCGGCCCCTTCGTGCACTGATTAGTTGCAAACCAAAAGTTTTTTTTTTTGCATTTACTTATGAACATCATTTGGACCACAGATTAAACATTTTGATTATGTTTTTGTCTGATTTGTTGCAATATGGATATGGTGAATCCCAAGACATAACAGAGATGATTAACTAAAAATGGAGTCTGGCAGAAACAGACAAACAGGCCAAAGTAAACAGAGCACAGACCAGGCAGGAGGTTGCATCAGGGACTGCGTGTTTCCACTAAAACCTCTGTGCAGGGAGATGTACAATCCCTCAGGCGTGGAGGATAGTAGAGGAGAGAGAAGCATTTGGCAACATTTGATCACAACAGTATCTAGACATTTTTATCCACAACACGTCTTAGAAAAGCCGTTATTGTGCTCTTAAATGATCACAAAGACAATGACATTCTGATCAGGCACTCTTACTAATGCAGTATTTTTGTAAGTGCGTAAGATTTCAGTACATTAACTTGCACAATTAATCTTTTTATGAACATTAATAATGAATCTTTTTTCCTGGCTTGGTTTACATTTTCAAATACCAAAACCATATATTCCCCACACTGCTAATCTGCTTAGCAGTGAGACAAAAGGTTAAAGTATTACGAGGGAAACAGGTTTCTTTATATGATACAGCTGTATCAAGATCAGAAAGACTTTAAATATGGGTGTCAGTCAGTGAAGAGAAGAAACTAGATGCAAAAATTCATCCCTTTGACCAACTCAAGTTAGGAATCAAACAGAGATAAAAGATGTGTGCATATTTCAATCCATAGAACAAAATGTAAAAAGTGAGCCTCCATGCTACAGAGCAAATATGGATCAAAAACTGCAATCTTAACCAATATTATTCACTACTCTGACACTGGCTGTTTTGAAGTAGAGGAGAGGTCAGTAGAGAGAGATTTAACCAAAGTCTGTGCAATAACCTCTTAGCTCTGTCAGCACTCTGGTCTCATCTCAAAATCACTCACTAGATCTAATACCGCACAAGAGGTATTTTGAATGAAAACTTCCAAGAAGGAATGCACAGATAAAAATAAAGATCTGGCTGGCCATCATTCATTTGAGGCATTTTAAGTCAATATACATTTGGACTACTTGGAACAGATGATTTCTAAGATATTTAGAAATGTATTTATTGCAGTAAGTAGTTAGATCTGTCTCAGCGATTAGCTTTCCAATCAAAACAGTCCAAATATTACCAACATGAATTGAAGGTTTGATCGCGGATAGGTGCAGCTTCAGTATTGCAGGCACTGCTTTGGACTGTCGTGGTAAAGAGGGAGCTGAGCCAGAAGGCAAAGCCCTCGGTTTACCAGCCAATCTACATTCAAACCCTCACCTATAGTCATGAGCTGTGGGTATTGACTGAACAAGCAACCTAGATGAGTTTCCTCCAAAGGGTGGCCAGGATAAGCCTTAGAGACATCCAGAGTAGAGCCGCTGCTCCTTCACATCGAAAGGAGCTAGCTGAGGTGCTTCAGGCACCTGATCAGGATGCCTCCTGGTCACCTCCCTCAGGAGGTCTGCCAGTCATGCTCCAACTGGGAGGAGACCAAGGGGTAGACCCAGAGCTCGCTGGAGGGATTATATATCCCTTCTGGTTTAGGAGCTGGAAAACATTGCTAGGGAGAAGGACGTATGGGGCAACTTGCTTAGCCTGCTGCCACCACAACCCAGCTCCCGATAAGCAAAAGATGGATGAATGGATGGAAATGATAGTTACTCTACTCATGGTGAATTAATGTTGGGTCTCTGTACATTTTATTGCTAAAGTACAGTCTAGATCTGCCCTTTTTGTGAACCAAAATCTAACTGGATTGACTGACTGATTGATATTAACCCACATGATAATTTTTTCCCTAAAATTGACAACGGCACAACAAATGGATGCTTCTTTATGAAAACATGTTGTCGTTGCTGTTGTTAATGGTAACATTCACTTGTAAAGTATGACAAAGAAGCATTTGCATTTAGTCATTGAGCTGCTGTAACCACACAGTGCTCCAACATAAACAACCCAAGTGTTGGTGAGGCTCTTAACCAATCAGATGGGACAGGTTTCTCAACGTACAGTTTCTGTCCTGTTCCCTGAGAAGGCTGCAGAGATTCAATTGAGTTAAAAAAGAAAAAGGAACTTTTCATGCAGAGTAAATCGGCTGTGGTCAAATACATGTAGGTCACTCAATTCTTGGATTAAACTCAAGATTTTGCCATTATTTCAAAATTCAAAAAATTATGGCGGACTTCCTTTTGGGTTCGGTAAGGGAACAGCTTTTGGCGCAGGCCTTTGAGCTTCAAAAGGTCGTATGGCCAAGGTCTTCAAACTGTCAACAGTGATTTTGAGGGAGATATGAGCAACTGTGTAGCAATGGCTAATGCAAATAAAATAGTGATCAGAAGTAGTAACTTCCTGTTGTCAACAGGTGGCGCTGTGACTAATTAAAAACTTTAAATCATGGACGTGTTCAGGGGGGCTCCTTGTCATGCAAGAATATTTTGGTGATGATTGAACACTGCATAGTACATATATAAGCATTTACTGTTTTTGGCACGATGCCAAAACCAACATCAAACTTTGACATCACGCCACGGCCACGCTTTATTATGAAACCTCGTGATTTGAGCACACCTTTTATTCTTCAACTTGTCTACTTTCATTTGACACCAAACTTGAATTGATCAGATAAACGCTCTTGGGCAGATGCTTTCAAACAGGTACCCCTTAAACGGGAAAAATATGGTGTTTTTTGACATTCAAAAAATCATAGCGGACTTCCTGTTGACACAAACACACGGACATATACAGCAAATCTCAAGGTCAGGAAAAGACACATGGCTTTTTTTTTTGCTTTTCATATTACCCTTCGTTATTTAAGTTTACTTAACTTTGTTTCATGATGGTAAAGCTTTTAGTCTGGTTGATAATTTGTATTGAGATTTACAATGGTTTGAAATACTTCAATGTTCCATGTGATGCTCACACCTTGAGGAAACAGCAGCACCCTACTCTGCACTGTTGGTAAGTGCAGAGCTGGTTGAATTGTTGCACTCTTGAAAAGACTGAAACAGACACTTGCTGAGGAGTTGGCTCAGCCTGCTTTACATTCCACAGAGCTTCATCCCTGCTGCCTGATTCCTCCCTAAAGGGCTCATTTGCAAAATTACTTTTAAATCTGCCTGGCATTAACTGTACAGTTTCCTCCTATATTATTTTTATAGCCTGCACCAACAGCCACATTTGGCTCTTAAACAACGCTAAGGCTGGAAATGA